TGGAGGGGTCCCGCCGCTGCGAGCTGTGCGGGGCGGCGGGGCGGCTCCGATGCCGCCGCTGCCGCCTCACGCACTACTGGTGAGAGCCCCGCTGGCTGCCGGGGGAGCAGGGGCCAAGCCCCGGGTGTAGGCCCGGGAGGCAGGGACGGGGTGCAGGGCGCCCGGGAGGAGAGCCGGGACAAGGCAAGAGGCAGGGGGAAAGGCCCGGGACAAGGCTCGGGACGCACGGGCACGGAGGAGGCCCGGGGTGAGGCGCAGGAGGCAGGAACGGGCGCGGGATGAGGCGCAGGAGGCAGGAACGGGCCCGGGGCGAGGCTCAGGAGGCAGGGAGGAGGCCCGGGGCGAGGCCCAGGAGGCAGTGCCAGGCCTAGGACACAGGGGCGGGCCCAGGGCAAGGGCTGAGAGACAGGGGCAGAGCCTGGGAAGCGGGCTGGGACGCGGGGACAGGGCAAGAGGCAGGGAGTAGCCCCGGGATGAGGCTCAGGACACAGGGGCAAGCCCCCAGGATAAGGCTTAGGACACAGGATTGATGCCTAGGAGGAAGCCTGGGTGGCAGGGACGAGGCCTGGGACAAAGCTCAGCAGGCAGGGATGAGGGCCAGGGTGGAGACTGGGAGAAGGCCTAGGGCAAAGCTCAGCAGGCAGGGTAGCGGGAACTGGAGCTGGAGCAGACACGCTTGGCAATTGCTCGGCCAGAGCGTTTCTTCTCACTTCCAAACATGCCCACATCAAATAGAGCGCAGTGCAGTGAGCTTTCTAGATGTTTACACAAATACCTTCACGTACATGGGGGGGGGGGCCTCAGTGAAGTCGTATGTTAACGATAAGTTTCACTGGTTTCACCCTGACTTGGGGTTTGTTTGGCTTTGGAGCTTTTTTTTGTGTACCGCAGTGTTGAAAGCCGGGTGTTTGGGAGTTTTGTGAGTGCTTTAAATAAGGTTTTAACATACAGAATCATGGTGACTTGCCAGGACAGCGCTGTGTTCCCCTCAGGGGATATCAAGTATGTACTTGATTAGGTGCTCCATGAGCAGCCTAAGGACTGGTGGCTGTTATGGGTAATTCTTGCAGTGAAAGTCCAGAGGACACAACAGGCAATAATCTTCCCTTACATCATGTCCAAGCAAACAAAAATATTGTTGTTCCTTTATTTTGTTAGTAATGTAGATCATCAAAAAGCTGACTGGGTTAGTATCCATGAGCGAATATGCCCGCTGCTGATTCCAATCCGTACATCTCTCCCTTGTCTCCTTTCTGAAAAGGAAAGAAAACATGGCATGGAACAGCTGGTGAAGAGGCAGGTATGTACAAGAAAAACGAACACCACTTCAAAATGCTGCCAGTGAAATTCAATTAGATCTATTCTTCCTATACTTTGATCTATGTAGTGTTGGGAGGGCACCCTTTTGGTTGATTGGTACTCAGTTGCAGAGCTTTAATATTTTTTTTTAAAACAAAACCTCTATAATAAGGGGAGTGGGAACATCCTCTCTCTGATTCTATGAGCCACTTGCCTTTTTTGTGGTCCTTACTTGAAGTCCTGAGCTTCCTCAGGCAGTGGCAATCCTGGATCTCCTGCCTTGGCAGGTAGTTAGTCCATCTCCCCAGCTAGTCGGGGATCCAGCTGAGTTTTGCTTCTTACGGGCTGTCTTCATCCTTCGCTGATGAGAGGGATTCCCCTTTCTCAAAGCAAGGGGGCAAAGAAATAAAGTCCCTTCCCTTTGTTTACCTGGCCAACTTTAAACGCCCTTTCCCACTAAGTACGGTCTTTTATCTCCACTTTTTGGCCTCGTGGGTGGTGCAGATGTGCAGCTCCTTTCCAGCCCGAGTGGTTTTCAACTCTTTTTTTGTTGTTGTTTTTTGTTTGTGGAGTGGCAGGATCTGCTTTTCCACAATGTTGATAAAATAAAAAATAACCCACCCAAATGCATCTGCTACTTAAAATCTTGCCCGTAAAAATAAATTATCCTTCTATCATTGCATAACTCCTAATCGCAGAATAATAGGACAACAGAACAGCTGAAAGTGAGCTGGTAACAATCAAACAGTGCCACTGAGAAGAATATCATTAATCGTCTGGATTTTACATCACGTATTCTTTTTAAGGTTGTTTCTGGGCCAGGTGTTAGTGCTTTGGTGACTGGCTCGTTGCTGCGGTCTTTCCTGGGAGCATCCAGAAAAAGAAAGTCTAAAAGGGGCAGGACCTGCGTAGCCAAAAGTCCTGCTTGGTGAAAGCTTGCGAGAGGCTTTAGGCAGCAGATTCCTTTAGGCTTTGTAGGAATTGGGCACTGACAACCCAGTTTGGTTTTGAAAATCACAGGCAAGATTGTTGACCAGAATCTGAAGAAGGTCTGTTGGAACAGTATGTCCCAGAAGCATCAGGAAAAATGCAGAAGCTCCTTTGTTCCAGGTTACGTTTAAGTTGATCTTTTACAAAGTCTGCAAAGAAACAAAGTTAAAATTGGTCTCATTGGGGGTGGTGGCAGCAGGGGTTTTTTTGCATCCTTAACTGCTTAAAGCTTTTCTGAGAAACTTCACCTACATATTGAACACTGATGTTGAAAATATCTGTTATTGCATCATTGATTTCACAGCAGCTAAAATTATGGTATATACATTACAAAAGACCACGTGACCGCCAGATCAAGGAAGTACTCCTTGATTAGCTGGAAGGTAATCATCTGTTTTTATTGGATTCCGGGAGAAGACAGCAGGAGGACGGGGCTGGTGGAGAAGGGCGAGTCACTCCTCTTGATTGGAGTGCACACCTAGGTTAGAGACAGCACCTGCAAACCTGCAGCTTGACCCAAGGCTTGGAGTGACCTCATGTGAAAAGTCAGAGAGAGCAGACTCCAATTTTTTTTTTTTTTAAAGTAGAGATTTTTATAGGATCTTTAACAACCCTATTGCATTTGTTCTTTGACCTTTGTCTCCAGACTATTTAAATAAAATAGATTCTGGGAACGGTATGTGCTGGGACACTTTGTCTTCCTTCTCTCCTAAGAAAGGAGTGAAAAAGCAGAAACATCTTGTTGGTTACCTGCTTGCTTTCACTGCAAGACTAGCCACAAATGAAGTCTGCCTTTATGTACAGCAAGGTATAGGGTAGACAGCGTTGGGCCTAGACTGGCTGACAAGCACTGGAAGAGCAGCGTGGAGAGGGCGAGATTATTTACTGCCCCATCTTGGTGGCTTCATCGTTTTCCTAGCCACAGAGCCAACAAAAATGCTTTAAAGAAGGCCTTTGGAGCTCAGGGAAAAGCTATGTAGTCTCATGATGATCAGAGAAAAAACCTTCTGCTCAAAGCCTGCCCATAGGTTTATTATTTTTTGAACATTTCTGCTTTACTTCACAAACTCCTGCATGGTGTTTGTTTAGAAAACACACAGCTCAAGCCTTAGTCAGGACGCAGGAAAGCTTGTGCACATCAAAATGCCCTGTGGCTTAAGGGAAAGTGCATGAAGCTGAGAGCCAGGAGGTTATGAGTTTCATACCTCGTCTGTGCTCCAAAGCTTTGTTGATAGAAATCTGCTTTTGTCAACATAGCCAGGGGGGTGCCTGCAGACAGTACCTCCAAACTGACAAAACTCCAAGTTTCTGTTTGTAGAATAGCCTCACCTGCCTGCATGATGTCAGCTTACTGCAGCCCCTGGGTACGGGAAAAGATCCATACCTCAGTCAGGTACAGCAGTCCTCCAGGACCAATGCTAGCCCCACCAACTGCAGGTTTCAACTCAAACTAACTGGAAGCCTGCCTTCCTCTTTAAATCATCATTTCTTCAAGCGCGCCATCAGTTTTGGTGCCTGTGAGTGAGTAAATGAACGTGGCACTGAACCCCGAGTGGGTTCCCCACCCCCTGCTCCCACCTGGAGCAGAGCTGGGGTCCTCAGCCTCCTCAAACCCCAACTGGGGGAAAACTGCGTGGGGGCATCTTCAGAGAAACCTCTGTAATTACAACACACATGAAAAGAGCCCAAAGTGTGCGGGTCCGGGGGCGTGGGGCTACGGGCAAGATGAAAAACAGTGCAGGGCCAAAGCTAATGATCCCCCCAAGGCTTGTAACTGCGCAGTCTTAAATATTCAGTGCTGCAGGGCTTCTGTTGTCTCCTGCCCTTTCTTCTCCTGGGAGCTCTGAAAGAGTGTAACCTGTAGCTTGTCCTCACTGCAGATGTTTTAAGATAGCTTACATCATGGGAAGCAGCGATGATCCTATAGACAAGGAGTAAAAAAAGAATGATGCTGATCTCCAGCACCTCCCCAGATGACAATCTGCTTGATACCCACGCACCAAAACCAGTGCCGGTTGCAACAGAGAAAGAGTGGCATGGACAGAAACGACAGCCTGATAAATAACAGCTTTTCTTGCTCCTTGCCCTGAGCGTGTGCTGACTTTCTCCTGGGCACCACATGCTCCCCCAACACGGCTTGGTTTTGGTGCGTCCCTTTTTCACTCACTATATGGGGGTAGCTAAGGGGCTAGAGAGGGGATGACCGCTGTGTTTTCTTGCTCTTGGCTCTTCTTGCTGTAGCAGGGTGCTATCACTCTGGGGTGTGTTCTTCAAAGCTCTCATTTATCCAGAAAGGATGTCCCTTTATCTCAGCCAGGATCTCCAGGAAAAGCAGGTTGTCCTTAAGGTTCCCCATTCCTGAGCTATTCCTTCACCCACAGCATGACTCTCTCTGCCTCTCTCTAAGCACTTAAAGCTCAACAAAATGCCAAAGCCTGGCCTCCAAAAGCACCAGGATTTGTTTTTCAGCCCTCTGCTCAGCCACAGCTGGAAAACAGAAGGCAAT